TAAAACGTTCAAGTGTAAAATATTCTAAATTTGTCGGACGGATGGCGTTTGTGACTTTTTTTTTCTTTTTTTTTTTAAGATTACATGATGGCATTTTTTTATATTTTTTTTTAGTTATTTATCGTTTCATGGAATAAATTATTTTTGTAACGTTTTAAATAAAAAGTCTGAGAAAATTTGGAGCATATGATGAGGAAAAATAGTAAAAAAAAAAGAACAAATCTTTTATTTTTCAAGAGGTGTGCGGTTGGTGCTATATATAGTGGCTCGGAGGAAGAAATCAGAAACCAGAGTTCGAATTCTAGTCGCGTTGATTTCATTCACCAACGTGAAATTGCGAAAGGTATGAATCTATCAGCTTCCCTAGCTATGGGTTAAACAGTAAAAATAATATCAGTATTTATTTCTGAGATGAGGAATTGTAACTATTTACACAGTTTACATTGTTTGGGGTGTTATCCTATTGTTATATTCAGGATGTTTCAACCGTTGTACGCATCGGCCTTCTTCAGGATATGTCTATATTTCTGAAATGAGATATTGTAATTATTTACATTATTTACATTGTTCGGACTGATGTCGTCATCTTTATTGTGATATACACAACCTTTCAGCTGTTGTGCGCTCCGGCCTTCTTCAGGATCTGTCTATATTTCTGAGATGAGGCATTGTAATTATTTACATTATTTGCATTGTTCGGACGGGTGTCGTCATCTTTATTGTGATATACACAACGTTTCAGCCATTGTGCGCTCAGGCCTTCTTCAGGATCTGTCTATATTTCTGAGATGAGATATTGTAATTATTTACATTGTTCGGTCTGTTGCCCTCACCTTTATTGTCATGTTCATGACATTTTGGCTGTTGTACCTCACACATGGCCCAGTAAATAAAAGCGTTGGTTGGACCCAAATTTCAATACCTGACTACAGCAGTGGTAAACAAAAACTTGGAGAATTGAGTTAAAGGAAGATAAATGGAAAATTCGGAAGAGGCATGACACGCGGAACTAGAACAATCTACCCCGGTGGACGAAATAAAGAGTTCAGTTCGAAATTCCAATCACCTAATGAAGGCTGTAGCGTACAACGGCCGCAAATGTCGTGAACATGATAATAAAGACGAGGACAACAGTCCGAACAATGTAAAAAACGAAAGAAAGATTTTAATTTACTATAAAGTACTTGGAGAAATAATATCGGGAATAAATATACGGACTTGGAAGTATTTTAACGTGGTGTAATGGTTAACAAACTTATATCATTAAGCCAATTTTAATTAAGTAGTTGGTTTCTTCCGGACTGGGTTCTCTAAGCTTTCATAATTGTGCCAAATCTAAATTAGCCTTATTATTAGGTTGGTGCAAAAATAATGACGTAATAATGTCGCTTTTTGACGTTAAAAATACGTCAAAAAACGACATTATTACGTCATTATTTTTGCACCAACCTAATAAATCGTTATATCTATAGTCTTTGGCGCTTAATTAAATCATTTGTAAGAAAATTAATGAAATCTTAAATTAAAAAACAAAACAAAACAAAAACGTATAAAACATTTGGTGCGTAGATTGGGTGACAGCGTTTTTTTGTTGTTTTTTTTCTTTGTAATTAATCATTAAGTGATAATGTCACTAAGACTCAACGCTTAACTGAGAGTGAAAGAGAATTATAAAACTTTAGTGAAGAAAAAAAAAGAACAGGTGATTGGAATTTCGAACTGAGCCTTTTATTTCGTCCACCGGGGTAGATTGTTCTAGTTCCACGTGCCATGCCTCTTCCAGGTGTTTCCCTTGTCTTCCTTTAACTCAACTCTCCAAGTTTTGTTTACCACAGCCGTAGTTAGGTATTGAACTTTGGGTCTAGTCACTGAATCCGACCAACGGTTTTATTCATTGTGCCATGTGTGAGGAACAACTGCCGAAATGTCGTGAACATGGCAATAAAGATGAGGACAACAGTCCGAACAATGTAAATAATGTCAATAATTACAATACCTCATCTCAGGAATATAGACAGATATTCTTGCTTTCTCTCAACCCAGACAGCGTCTTTTTTGTTTAGGTTTTCGTCGCAATCAGCAATGAATGGGTTATTATTTATCTGAGTTAATAGCAGAACGTAACGTACTCTTTAACTAGTTTGCTTAACTTGTTAATTAATCAAGTAAAAAGTTGTAACGGAGTTTTTTTTTCTTTTTTCTTTTCCTTTTATTTTTTTCGTGCTTTTGTTATAAGTCAAGCGATGCTGGAGTTTTCTTACCTAGAATCCAGGATAGATATTTTTTTTTTTTTTTTATGGGAGATCGACGGTGCTATAATATGTAGTATTTATTCCATACTATTGATATAAAGTTTAATGTTATCTCAATTTGATAAGAACTCTGCTCTATCTTAGTTCGATTGGGAAGACAAGCAAGTCGCATGAAATCCAATTATTTTTAATAGGATGAAGGAGCTTACAACATCCACAAAGCCACGGTAGAAAAAATTGTCTATTGTTAAATTCTAAATGTTAAAAAAAAATGATTCGTTTTATCAATTTCAATAAGACAACAATTTTTTTTTGAATCGTAGAGTTAAAGAATTAATTAAAATTCTAATTAGCCGCAACTATTTTTGTTGTACAAAGTTCAATTTATTAAAGCCTATTAATTACAAAACAAAGCCTGGTGGCTTTTGTAAAATGTTCCGTTTACTGTGATTTGAGTCACTGATAATGGGTTTAAATTTATTTAAGTGTATTTCTCGATAGAGAGAGATCATCAAATGGAAGTGTGTCAGTTGCGTAGAATGGTTGTCAAGCAGACTAACGCTTCATCTGGCGTAGAAAATAAAGTCTCTCCTGGTGATAATATTGGCTCCACCAATTCGGCAGCTAATGTCGCGTCAAATAAGCGGCAATGTTTTGAAATAAAATCAAATTTGAAACTAGACATCCCCAACACTCTATTGATTACCTAGAGAACAGCTTCCCAAAATATTGGCATGAGAGTCACTCTTTTTTTTTATTAGCCAAGCCAAATAAGAAAAGACAGGCGCAGTGGAAAAGCAGAAAATATCTTACTAAAGATAAGTAAACTATTAAGAAACAATAACATTTCTTTAGCTACAAAGAATTTCTTATATAGCAATAAATGCTGGACAATCTCAGAAACTAAGGGACATAATAAGAGACAGGAAAATCTCTTCAAAAATAAAAACAAAAAGTGCTGAACGCTGGTACATTATCTAATATCCTACATGAATTTAAATGTGTTACTAGATTGTCATTTAGGTCCCACATTTTTATTGTTGAAAGAGGTAAATGCAACCGTCAATTCTATTTGAACAGTGTCTTTCACAAACTTTCCACCTGTTGAATTACCTTCCATTTACTTGCTTCCCTGATAATTAATTTTATCTTCAAAAATGTGAATGCAATATCAATCGCCATCTTCTATCTTCTTGAATCCCATTCAACTTTTGTCCTTTCTTCAATCCTCCCTATACGAGTCTTTTCTCTCATTTTCACTCTCTGTAATCCCCTGCGTACTAGTGGCATACCCGCCTTGCTTGGGGTGAAATCATTCACAAAATTTAAATGCAACGTTCATCGCCATCTTCTATCTTCTTGAATCCTGTTCATCTTTGTCCTTTCCTCAATCCTCCCTATACTCAGTCTTTTCTCTCATTTTCACTCTCTGTAACCCCCTGCGTACTAGTGGTATCACTTTGCTTGAGGTGAAATGATTAAAAAAATATACTGTGTAACCCGGATATAAGAGACCTGGATATAAGAGAAACCCGGATATAAGAGAGATTTTCTCTGGTCCCAAATTAGAGCCTGTGTTAATGTATATAAAATAGACCAAATCCGGATATAAGAGAAACCCGGATATAAGAGACTTCTTCTCCGGTCCCGACAACTCTCTTATATCCGGGTTACACTGTAGCAATTAATGTTGGACAATCTCATGCCTTTCAGAAACTAAGCAAAGTATTAAAAGATAGGAAAATATCTTCCTAACTAAAGAAAGAATTGCTTAATACCCCAAACTTAATAAAAGCTTTTTGGTAAAAACATTATCTGACTATAACACTGAGATGAGATATGATTACTTACATTATTTACATTATTCGGAATGTTATTCTCATCTTCATTGCCAGATTCACAAAATTTCTCCAGCATTCTTTAGGTGATTGGAATTTCGAACCGACATCCTTATTTTGTCCACCGGGGTAGATTTTGCTAGTTCCACGTGTCATGCCTCTTCCGGCTGTCTTAGTATTTTCCCTTTAACTCCAGGTTTTCAGTTAACCACTGCTTTGGCCTGGTATTGAACTCACGACTCTTTGGGTCTAGTCATTGGATCTAACCAATGTCTTTATCCACTGGGACATGTGTGCTATGTTATGAGGAAAACATGGCAATGAAGATGAGGATAACAGTCCGAATAATGTAAATAATGATAATACCTCATGTCAGAGATATAGACAGATATATAGAGAGAGATAGACATAAAGGTCGGAGTGTACAACGGTCGAAACGTTGTGAATATGGCATTGAAGATAAGGATAGCAGTCCTAATAATGTAAATAGCACATAATACCTCATCTCAGGGATATAGGCAGATACATATAGAGACATATATATAAAGGCTGGATGGTGCAACGGCCGAAACGTTGTGAATATTGCAAGGAAGATGAAGAGAACAGTCCGAATAAGGTAAATAATGCAAGTAAAATATTTTATTAAAAGGATTTTTTTATTATAAAATTATAATATTTTTATCCTTTTTAGAACCTTCGGCATTTTTGTTAAAAATCTTGTTTTTTTCTCGCATTGGGGTGGGGTGGTGGTGGTTGTCAACCATGAAGTAGTATACGAAAATCAAATAATTGCTGAATTTTAATGAAACTTTCAGAACGTATTCCTAAATTAATTAAATTATTTTAGAAATGTGTCCTTTTTTTAGAAAATCTTTCTAAAAAAAAGAAAAAAAATTGTTAATCTGTTACTCTAACCAAGTTATTTAATTTTATGAAATTTCGGGAAATTAAATTTTTCTACCGATTATATTTATGTTAGTTATTGGCATAACTTAAAAATTTAAATCATCACTTTTATTTTTGGAAATCAGTAACTCAGTTGCCAAAAATCTGCTCTGAATCGTAAAAACAATAAAACTAAACTTCAAACTAGAAAAGTAAATTACTTTTATGAATAATATATATTATGGGATCTATGTTTAAAAATGTTTTTTCTGGTGAATAATTAATTTTTACAAGAATATTTTTTCATTTTTTAAAATTTTTAATTATAAAAAATTATAATGTTTTAAAATTATTTCTTAATTTGCAAATGTTAGGTGATATTGTTTTTTTTTTTTTTTTAAGCGTTTCACCCCAAGCAAGGCGGGAAGCCACTAGGACGCAAGGGGTTACAGAAAATTTGGAGCAAGATCAGATAGGATAGAAAAAGGATGAGGAGAAGGTTAGTGGATAGATCAAGGCAAGATCAGATAGGATAGAAGAAAGGATGAGGAGAAGGTTAGTGGATAGATCAAGGCAACTGGAGATGTCGATTGACATTACATTTGAATAGCTGGAAATTATAGCTCTCAGGGAAACTGGAATAGGGAAGTAAAAACTATATTTACTAATAAATGACAGAGCTTAGTATAATTCAGCGACATCCATATTTTCAAAATTTTTTTGAATGTTTTTGTGTGTATACACATGCCAAGTTTTGTAAATACGGGGATCTATACATGGCATTATCACAAAATAAGAGCGATAACTATAATAATTTAACGAGTATCTAAAATTCAATAAAGCATTAGAATACGAAAAATATTTTCCCAAATTTTAAATTACGAGGTAGTCAAATATTATACATAAAAAAAGAGCTCACATATATTCCTCGAGTAATTTTTATGGATATGCCTAGCGTAAAAAAAGATATTAGATAAACTTCCGTTTGTCAGTCAAGCTGTCAACCCATTAAATTATACAACTACGACCGCGTTAAAAATGCATTTCTGTGATATTTCAAATTAACACTAAGTAATATTTGTTTCACATTAATTACGTAAACATTAAATCAGCAAGTATTCTTCAAATAAACTTTTGAGAAAAATATATTTTATTTTTGACTGATCATTTTCTAAAAAACGAGATTTACATTGCGATGGCAGTTGGCTAAAATAGCTCTAAAATCTGTGTTATTTAGTGATTTCTAAACGAAAAATTCTTTCAGTCAATTTAAATTAGTTTTGAAATGCAGCAAAGTATTTACTTATTGGAAACATCAAAAATTTAATCTATGAGACTAAAATTAAATTAAAATAAAAGCTCTAAGAAATATTTATTATTTTCATATTCTTTTAAAACTTAGGTAGCTTCTTTCTTTTCATGTGTATTAAAACCTGTAAAAAGAACTAAATTGGTTCACATCTATGACTGCCATCTGTATATATATATATATATATATATATATATATATATATATATATATATATATATATATATATATATATATATATACACACACACACACACATATATATATATATATATATATATATATATATATATATATATATATATATATATATATATATATATATATATATATATATATATATATATATATATATAAAAGTGTACGTTACGTTAGTACCAATATCCAGACATTATATTTTAAAAAGTGCTCAATACAGAGTAGAGTTTAATAATAATAATAATAATATTTATTAACAATTATTACAATAATTGATAATAAATGATATTAAGATATATATATATATATATATATATATATATAATACTTTAATGAGGTAATAATACAAAGAATCAATCAGTAAGTTAATGTAATTAATGGCGAAATCTGTTCGCTAACAAACTTAATAAAGCATTAACCTACAAACCATTCATTGCCCCAAGAAAGATTTATTTTTTATATTCTTTTATATCTCGTTTCTGCTTTCTATATTATTGTACTTAAATTGTTTCTAGGTGTATTAAAAGTTTGAGGACTCTGTAGACTCACACTTTGACTGGCATTTGAATAAATATCTATCTATCTATCTATCTATCTATCTATCTATCTATCTATCTATCTATCTATCCATCTATCTATCTATCTATATATATATATATATATATATATATATATATATATATATATATATCCAATTGTAGATTACGTCAGTACCAATATCCAGGCGTCATATTATAAAAAGTGCTCAATACAGAGTAGAGTTTAATTATGATAATATTTATTAACAATTATTAGAATAATATATATATATATATATATATATATATATATATATATATATATATATATATATATATATAGGTGTTTCATTAAGACGGATTATATATGAGGCTGTTTCATTAAAAGGGTTCAAAGTCAGCAGTAAATAAGTCAGTGTTATTGGTAAAAATGTATTTATTTCTCTATTAGATCATGTTATTTAAGTCATGGCAATTATGTGTGAAAAATAATATCGCCCAAATGACCGCCAAATCTGAAAGAAAAAGAAAAAATATCATTAGACTCTTAAATTTAATTCACATTTAAAATCGATCCAAGTTACTGGAACACACTTTATATATACGTATAAAATGAGAACGAATCGAATATAAATTCAAACGTTCATAGCATTAATTTAAAAACAGGACTCCATCCAATAGTAGAGCACTATTCTTTACAAAGAAGCGAGTGACATATGGATACGGTGAACACTATGGACAGAATTACAGAACATTCGTGAAGTTTTTCTTTCTTTTTATGTGCCGTGTCCCTTCAGGACGTAGGCGATCATGGCTCTCCCCTTATCCCTTCTTTGGTTTGGTTTGGTTTGTTTTACGGCATATCAACCTCAATGGGTTATTTAATGCCGACAAGATTTTTAGTATAGGTTCGTATGAATAGAATATGTATTCATTGTAAGAAATCAGTTTGTAGGAGATTTGGTTTGGTTTATTTTGTTTTACGGCATATCGACACCTCAATGGGTTATTTAATGCCGACAAGATTTTTACAATAGGTTCGTATGAATAGAATATATATTCTTTGTAAGAAATCAATTTGAAGATATTTGGTTTGGTTTATTTTGTTTTACGTCATATCAACCTCAATGGGTTATTTAATTCCGACAAGATTTTTATTGCATTTAATATTTTTTCTTCAAAATATTGCTGGTAATAATGTATTGCTGGTAAATTTTTTTCCCTTCAAAAATTCATTGCTTTCAATATTTTTACAGAAATGTATTGCTGTTATTAAAACCTATTTTTACTCGTTTTGACGGCATGTAGTGTGTAATTTTAAATATCGCTGGGAATTTTAAGCAATTACTACCCTAACAAGAAGCGGCAGGGATCAACTTCTCCTGACGAATACTGAGAATATTATGAAAAAAAAAAACTCTTAAGGAAATTAGAGACTGCAAGGAACTATAGAAGTTATAATTACAATCAGAACGAGAAAAGAAATCCGAAGACGCATATTAAATGTGTCTTTCAGAAACTAAGCAACGTATTAAGAGAATGGAAAATGTGCTGATCTGCGATGTAATATCTCCTATATCCGAAGTGAATGTCAGAACAATCTTATCACTGATAAAAAAGTGAATTAAAGCAGACGAATAGTGAGAATACCATGGACAGAATATCTGAGCAATGGAGAAGTTTGAAATAAACGATGAAGAACAAAGAAAATGATGGTTACAATCAGATTGTAGATATTTTCGATGAAAAAAAAAGAGGTCTTATAAAATCTGACACTCACAGGACATATTGAAGGCAAGAGAAGTCGGGGAAATTCAAAAGAGAATTTGAAAAATTATTGGTCCTGACCTGACATATCAGCTTCAGTCGTCTACCCGCCACCGTAAAATAACTTCATTGTGAATTTTTTCTATAAATATTTTCATGGTTCATTGTTATCTGTTGTACTATTTACCTAGAGTTTATGAATTTAATTAATAGAAATACTAGATTGGCAGATAGGTCTCATCATTTAACAGTTGAAATGGCTAGATGTAACCATAAGTTCTATTCTAACAGTTTAGTAATCTGATAAGTATGTTCATGGTAATTGTTTTGATAAGCTATCCTCTTTGGTACCAAGACTTTATGATTTTATGTGCAGTGCTAGATTGGCAGCTAGGTCTCATCATTTTCTCGCAATTCTCGTTTGTAGAAATTTGTTAAGGCTTTCTGCTTTCCAGTCAACTTTGATCACACAATATTTAAATGTAATGTGAAACGTTATCTTCTCTATTCTTAATTTTATTGCCCCTTTTCCTTTTGCAGTAGTTTTTCTCATATTCTCTATCACTCAGCAACTTCTTGTGGCTTAGTGACTTTATCGCCTTTTTGGTGATTCTTAAGTCCTGTTTTTATTGTTTTGTCTATCTAAAAGGCCTGACCCGTCTGTAAAGCAGGTTAGCTTATGAAGACAAAGATTGCCATCTCGTTATAGTGTGATTTGGCACATCCGCCCGGACAGGTGCCTCGTTACAGCATTGGTCGGTAACGAAGGAAACTTCATGAAATATCCACACGGCATAGTGGCTAGTAATGGAAAAATATATACCTCTGTTAAGACCGGGTTTCTCTTATTTTAAAGTACATTTTTCTGCGCAGAAAACAAGTAATGGTTTTTTCAAAATATATTAAATAAACTTTATAATTTCTAATTTTCTTCAATTAAATTTTAAAAAAAAATTATCATTTATTTTTAAAAGAACTTTAAACGAAGAATTTCACTTTTGTAAACAAAAGTGAAAAAATGGCTGATTGATTTTCTGTCAAATTTGCTGAATCAAAAAAACAAAACAAAAAAAACCAAGGTTTTAACGAAAATTTTGGACGTTCTAGGAATGATTAAAAATATAAAAAAAATATTCAAAAAATACTTTGATCTTTCCTCTTGATAATAATATAAACATTTAGGCAGTAAAAAATTATTTTCATCAAGTTTATGGACTTTTTTATTCATGCTTTGCTATTTTTTATCGATCCCATGAACATACCTACTTAAATTCAGGTCACCAGAGAAAAAAGCTCAGAGCAGTTGCCATGAAAATATTTGTAGAAAAGACAGAGGGTAGCCATTTCACGTCGGTGATAAAGTGACAATTCCAAATGCCTGGTCAGGATCGATTACATTACAAGATCCATCTTTTGATTTTGTCAAGAATCTCAAGATGAATAGCAGAAGCACCCGACCAGATAAGGCAACAGTATTCAATGCATGGATAAATGGTAGATTTGTAAATGTGCAAAATGGATTCAGACGAGAAAAATCTTCTGGCACGGCACAGTGACCCATCTTTCCTTGCAGTAGATGCAGCTATTGATTCGATGTAGTCACTCCACTTTATGTCGGTGGAAAACGTGAGGCCAAGAAGGCGCAGTGTGTTGCTCTCTTGGAATCTAGCATTAACCATACTGTTTGGCAGGCAGAAAGGTTCGTTATGGTGATTAAATGAAAGTAGTTTTGTTTTGGAGATGTTAAAATTTACAGGCCATTACTTGCCCCAGTTAACAACTGATTAGAGGTCCTTTTCAAGAGCAGCTGCCAGATTTAATTTGTCAGATCTGTCGTAATGGTATTGAGACAGGAGTAAGCGGCAGTGCCATCTGCATAAATAGTTACATGGGAAGTGATGACATCGCGGAGATCATTGATGAAAATCAGAGATGGCGGAGGATCCAGGATAAAATCTTTGGGGGCACCAGTGTCTGCGAGATAGGATTTGAAAGCGAGTCCTTTCAAAACGTCATTCATTTCACGATTTGATAGGAACGATTGGATTAAATTAAATATTCGTCATATGACACCGTAGCTCTTTAGATTGCGTAGAAGGCCAGCACGCTAAATCCTGTCGAACGCCTTCGAGATATCTCGAGCCACAGCTCGAGCTTCGCCGTTCTTATCCAGAGTTTGATATAGAAATTCAGTGATGGTCGTTAACAGAGCAGCGCTAGATCTGGCAAAACGGAAGAATTTCGTCTGCTTTTTCTTTCGTCTTCTTTTTCTGTGTCAGCCTCTTGTTCTTTTTTTCTTTTTCTTAACTTCATTTTGTTATCCTTCTTTTCTTCCTATCTTTTTCTTTTTTCTTTCTTTCTTATTCCTCGTTTGTCTTCTATGTCACCATCTTTTTTTGGCTTTTATTTTTTTTTCGTTCGTCTTCTTTCCCGCCGTTTTCTTCCTATATCGTCTTTTTTCTCGCAATTTTTCTACCTGTTTTTCCTCTTCGTCATCATCTTCATATTTCTCTTATTCACTTGCTTTCCTTCTTTGACCTTCTTCTCGCCACCTTTTTCTCTATTTTTAATGTATTTTTCTTTTTATATTTTTTACCAACATTGTCTTCTTCCATTTTGTTTTCTTTCTCAAAATATTCTTTTTTTTTTAGTTTCCCCTTATTCTTCCCTTTTCTTCTTTATTCTTCTTTCTTCGTCATTTTCTTTCAGCGTCTTTTTTCTGTGTTCTTTTCTTGCTTTCTTTTCATTTGTTTTCTATCTCGCTGTCTTACTTTATGTCATTTTCTATCATCTTCCTTGTCTTTTTTCTTTTCTTTGATTTGTCCGAGAAGACGTCTTGAGAAGTCTGATGCTTAACCCCTTCAACAGTGATTAGATCCTCGAATAGTTTACCAAATAGCGGTAAAGATACTACTCTCTATCTATTAAAGGCAGGATGTGTGTGTCTCTGTGTGTGTGTGTGTGTGTGTGTGTGTGTGTGTGTAATGAATGCACGGCCGCAATTTTCGACGGATTTGCACCAAACTTTACATGCACATGCTCCAAGTTAGCGGAAAGACCAAGACAGACTTTGCCTTTCCCAACTCCCATCGATAGTGGAAATAATCGATTTTTTCATGCTTCTACGGCAGTTTTCATGTAGTTTGCGGCCATTTTGCACTGGCCTGAGTGAGAGCCAATAGCTGGCTGCCACGAATAGGCAGGAAGATTCTATTGGCCAGCGTGAGAGCCAACAGCTGACTGACACGAATGTTAACTAGCATGCTAGCATGCAAAAAAATCGATAGCCGCATTCGTCACAAGTAGGAAAAATTTAAATCTGCACTTTACTCCAATTGGCTCATTCGCTTGCTTAAACTTAACGTTGATTCTAATTCCGCAGAACTGGGTTGGGTGTGAAAAAGTATTTGTTGTTAACATTCTTTTTTCATTCGGTTTTTCCAGTTACGAGTCCTTTTTTAAAGCTGATCGTTTTGTGTTCATTTTGTTTAGTTTTTTTTTCGTAATAGATTTAATGTTTAGTATAGAGCTTAGAAAAAATTCGCAGGGTGAGATAGGCAAGAAATAAGGCATGTAGCAACATCAGCACGGCAAAGGGCACTCCTTTAAAGGCAAGGAAGGGCAAAAATATTTTAAGTCAAGTGATAGCGATTGCTGTATGAGTCGTACGATTTTTGACTCAAGCCCGGGCAACGCCGGGCCATGCTGCTAGTAAGGCGATAATTTGAAGGGTTATAGGGTTGTCTAGAATTCTTAAAAAACAGGAACTACAGAGGAGGATTTTAAACAAGCTGGCAAGCAGGATGCAGTGAGGGAAATGTTGAGTTTGTAGTGTACTGGAACCAATTCAGGAGCACATTTTTTTAGGGGCGACGAGTAGTGACGAGCAATAATAATTTATCTTCTCCACCAATAAAAGTTTTTCCGCTAAGGGGGATTATCTCCCTTTTATCTACTGAGGGTAAATGACGGTAGGCATTCACATTCTTGAATGTCACTGCTACTAGAATGAGTTTCATTTTCAATTTGGTGATCCACATTTCTGAATGTACCTAACACAACGCTAAATACCCAAACTCTGTAAGGTGTTAATCTTTTAATGTGATTTTTACTTGCCTTCTTCCTCTATCGTAGATAAGTTATAATTCATTTCTTCAATCAGCAGTTTCGTTTGGCGGAGATGTTAGCCGTGGACTGTGAAGGCAAACCGTAATTGCTGAGTTATCCTGCGATAACATCCGGTATCAAGTGATATCTTGTCCGATAGAGCGTCGGGTAGGCGAGAGTTAGGAAAATAGGATAATTATTTCATAGATAAAATGGTTGATAGAAGAGATTGAGTTTACTTTAAAGCTTCATTCGCTTACAGTTTATCATCATTTCCTTTCCGGTTTATTAACACATTCTTCTTTCCGTTTTTTTGTTTAATTTTTCGTTCTTCTTTTCTCAACTTCATTTTTTTCTTTCTTTTTTTTCATTCCTATATATCTTTATCTATTTTTTTTTAGACTCTTTATTTGCTTGAATTACCTTTTTTTTCTATTTGTTCCTCTTTTTTTATTAGCCATCTTCTTTCGTCTTCTTTTTTCGTCTTCTTTCCTCTTCGTCTTTTTTTCCTTTCCTCATTTTTTTCTTTTGTTTTCTTTTCCTTTCGTCTTTTTCTTTTCCTGTCTTCATTTCTTTCGCCGTCTTTTTCTTTCATTTTCTTTTCCATTCGGCCTTTTCTCCTTCCATCTTCTTTTCTTTTGTCTTCTTTTTCTTTTGTTTTCTTTTTCTTTCGTCTTTTTCTTTTCCCGTCTTCATTTCTTTCGTCTTCTTTTTCTTTCTTTTTCTTTTCCTTTTGTCTTTTTCTTTTTCCGTCTTCTTTTTCTTTTTTCTTCTTTTTCTTTTTTCTTCTTTTTCTTTTGTTTTCTTTTTCTTTCGTCTACTTTTCTCTTCCTCTTCTTTTCCCTTCCTCTTCTTTTCCCTTCGTCTTTTTTCATTCCTTCTTCTCTTCCGTCTTATTTTTTTCGTCTTTTCCTTTCGTCTTTTTCACTCCCATCTTCTTTTACTTTCATCCACTTGTTTTTCTTTTTTCTTCTTTTTCTTTTTTCTTCTTTTTCTTTTGTTTTCTTTTCCATTCGTCAACTTCTTGTTCGAATTTCTTTTTCTTATCTTCATTTCGTCGTCCTTCTTTCCCTCCAGACCCTTTCGAACGCCTTCAAGATATCTAGAGCCACAGCTCAAGCTTCGCCATTCTTATCCAAAACCTTCTTCTTTACCCCCCTCTTCTCGACAGCTTTTTCTCTATTTTTAATGTACTTTTCTTTTTATATTTTCTCAACTTCGTTTGCATCCATGATGTTTTATTTCTCAAAATATTATTTTTTTAATTTCTTCTTATTCTTCCCTTTACTTCATTTTTCATCTTTGTTCGACATTTTTTTTCAGCATCTTCTTTTTGTTTTTTTCTTGCTTCCTTTTCTTCTTTTCTTTTCTATCTCTTTGTCTTAATTTGCTTTTTGTCTTTTTGTATCATCTTGTTCCTCGTCGTCTTTTTCTTTTCTTTCACGTTTCTTTACATGCTTGCTATTTCCTCTTTTGCCGCCTTTTTCACCATCTTTTTTCACTTCTTTTTTGTCTTCTTTGTCTTGCTTTCATTCATTCCCGCACTTATATTTTTTTGTTCTTTTTTCAGCATATTTTTTTCCTTCTCGCCTTCCTATTTTTTCTTTCATCCCCTTTTCTCATTTTTTTGTTATTTCTTGCTTATTCTTTCTCTTCTCGCTTTTTCTTCCTTCTTTTATTTCTTCCTTCTCCTCCTCCTCCTTCTTCTTCTTCTTCTTCTTCTTCTTTTTCTTCTTCTTCTTCTTCTGTTATCTTCTTCCTTCTTTTTCTACTTTTTCTCCTTTACTGTTTTGATATCCTCTTTCTTTTACGTCTTTTTCTTCTTCTCTCTTTTTCTTCTTTCTTCTTCTTTCCTCTTTTTCTTCTTTCTTTTCATCTTCTTCTTCTCGCGTTTTCTTCTTCCTTTTCTCCTCTCTTTTTCTTCTTTTTTCTTCTCTTTTTTTCTTTCTTCTTCTTTTTCTCTCATTAACTTCTTCTTCATTCTTCTTCTCTCTTTTTCGTCTTTCTTCTTCTTCTTCCCTATTTTTCTCCTTTCCTCCTCCTCTTCTTCTTCTTCTTCTCTAATTCCACTATCATTTTTCCCTGACTTTGTCAATTACTTGTTAGAATCAAAATCCTCACTGTAAAGTCTAATTTCTTCGGGAAGACATTCAAATATTTCCCAATATAATTTTAAAATCCTGCATCAATTTCTAATTCGAGTTCATTCTTTGGATAATAAAATTCATTTTCGGCAAAATCTAAACGACAGGAGAATTTCTCACTGATAAAGTTTAATGAAATTACAAAAAAATATCGACAGGCTTGCCAGTTAGGAGGACAATTATTTTTTTAATCAAGATCAAAATGAAAATTAAACTTGCATTTCAAATTGGAAATTGGATTAAGACACAAAGAAAAAATATTTTTTTCAGTTTCATATATATATATATATATATATATACATTTTTAATGTTGTTAACCTATTGGAAGGCCCAAGAGACACTCAAGGTAGAGAGCTACTGAATGAAGTTTTTGAAAGTAGATAACGGTTCCCCCGAGATTTGAAGATAAGATTGTAGTAATTGGGGAAGTATCACCTCGGGAGTCTGTTCCACGAAGTAGCGGCTCTTGGGAAGAAGCTGTCCGAAAGGAACATCCTCTTCACCAATGGAATACAAAGCAAATGAGGATGATTCGAATTTGTGTACGTGGTATGGAGGGCCTTACCTGTGAAGGTCTGAACTAGTGGAACTAAAGAAGTTTAACACCCACAAGGCCACGTGAATGATTTTCGAATCAAGACTGAAATGCGGGCTGAGCAGTTCCAGACCAGACTCCAATTTTCGGTTTGATCTGACTCTTGCACATCTAGAGCAGGACACGGGGATCGATATATCTGTATAAAATATAACTAATTATAAAGTAGCTGGTAGCTAATATAGGTTAAGCCGGTATTTTAAAGAGATGTCCATTGCTACGCAACAAAATATCTATTACTGTTTAGAGAAAGAGTCTCTATTCAAGCTAAAGTGAGCAACTGAATTGTTTGAATAACACAGTTAAAGACAACATATATTTTCCTAATATAATGGACTCTCCCGTCGGTTTCAACGTATGAGGATCTAACAACTTAATTGATTCACTTATGAAATTTTGTGCGATAATCTTGTGGCCCTTAAAACCTGTTAATAATTTACAAAGAAGGCTGCATATGGAGCGAGAGTAAGGATTGTGGTATGAGATCACTGTTAGATTGGCTGACCTTTTAGATCATGCTCTTGCTTCTTGAAGAAAATTCAGACAAGCAGAGAGAAAACTGTTCAGTTCACTAAAACACGTTGATCTCCATTCTACCCGCTCCATGGCTAAGCACTCGAAGGTATCATGAGTTATATTGACAGCTGACAAATTGCGTTCATCTCTTAGCCTACATTCCTGTAGCCCTGATCTAACTGTCTCTACATTAGGATCTTGGGTATCCTGTCATCACACATTCTGAAGTCATGACCAGTCCAAGTAACTGAGACTGTATGAGAAAAGGTTCGATTCCTCCAATATTACTCCTGTTAAACAGGACTACATTAGATGTCCTATATTCAAGGTTAACTCCACAGATGGCTCGCAGACAGCTTTTATGGAAAACATCTAGCTGTTGTATATTGTATCTGTATGGAGTCCATGACACTGAGCCGTAAAAAGGATGGCAAGGACAACAGCTCTGTAAACCGGAATTTTCGTATCCAGTCGAATACCCCGCTCATTCTACCAGCGATGGTCATAAGAATGAACGAATCAAGATAAATCGCCAGAAAACCCACACAAGTGATTTGATTAAAGTGATGAAGGCTTGTGCAGAACCATCCACACTTTTCGGAACTATTTCCTGATATATATATATATATATATATATATATATATATATATATATATATATATATATATATATATATATAACGTGGACTCTCCTATCGTGAACGATAAATGAGGATTAGCATTATTGGTGCCTTTGTTTTACAATTATGCATGCTAGCAGGGGCTATTTGTTGTGGTGTTCTCCCGCTAAAGAGTCTATATTAGACTCTTCCGCCTACTATAAGATTAGTCGGAGAGAAGGTGCAGGGAACGCTGAATATATTGAGCGTAAATTCATTTGATACACTCTCACTATTTGAGTAATACTCTTCTGGTGTACTTACTGTTTAATATACGATATATCTGCAAACCTATTTCTTTGTTATTACTTAACCATTTACTTGGCCACATCAATATATATATATATATATATATATATATATATATATATATATACATATGTTGTGGAGTCCTTCTTCTAAAAAGTCTATATTAGACTCTTCCGCCTACTATAAGATTAGTCGGAGAGAAGGTACAGGGAACGGTGAATAGATTGAGCACTAGTTCATTTGATACACTCTCACTAGTCGTGTAATACTCTTCTGGTGTACTTAATGTTTAATATACGATATATCTGCAAATCTGGTTTTGCTATTGCTTAAACATTTAATTGGTCACAACACTATTGTAGAGAAAATCAGGTAAGGAAAGACATTTTATTTGTGCTTTCTTAAGTGTGATACTAACCCAGCCTTGTGTTCAGTGAGACGTTGCAACTTGAGGAGGGGATAGTCTTTGTCATCTAATGTTGAGTTAGAGGCAAAGATGGTGGCGAAAGGGTTCGCCCTAACAGTCGAGGAAGATATCACCTTGAAGCCATTTATAATTGTGGGAGCATCCACTTTAGCTCTGTTTATGATTTGGTTGGTAATCTTCCAGAATTTACGGGATCCAATTTGTTTCATTTTAACCTTGGTCTTGGTGTTTTCTAGAACATTTTTTTTTGCAGCGATTTCGTGCAGTTCGGAATTCAGTGAGGACCGAAAACATTTCGCCCCTTTCGATAGATATTGAAGTAGAGCTTTCGGGGAGTTATGGCTGCAGCGCATTCAGGTGTGAAGCAGGGTTGACTGTTTGATTTTTACTGGAAGTGTTGGGTGGGGAGGTTATAAAACTCTCCATGCTAGAAAGGATCCAATCAGTGACAATGACAGAAGTTATGACGTCAGCATGCTTGAAGAAATTTGGTTGAAGAGCTTCCATTATGTAGGATGAAAAGCTGTATCGACCCAACGAATGATCTTTCCTCTTCAAATAAGTCATTCAAACAGGCCAGTTACTCGTCAGGGATTGACACAGTAACTCTTTGTCCAGAGTCTTTTGATTCTTGAAAACAAACAGATCTCTTTGAAAATCATTTAGCATAGCAAAAAAAAATTAAAAAAAAAAACAAAACAAAAACAAACAATTCTTGTTCCCAGGAAATTCCGTTCAGGTTGATTTGTTGAATACAAATTCAACCAGCTCTTTTCTTTTCTCTTATATTCATGAAATCAATCAAACTTTATAACTCGTGCCTGGGGAGTGTGGATCCACTCCAGGATATACCAAGGGTTTGTATCGAATTAAATGTCAATCTGGAACTTTTATTCTAAGAGAAGTTTATGTATTGGGATCACCCTAAGAGAAAACAAAAAGGTTTTAAACTCGGTGTCACAACAGAGAAACAGTGGGGCTAAGTATGTCAAAATCGCACCCCAAATGATATCCTAATCCGAAGCTAATCTGATATATTTACATTCGGACTATTATCCGCATCTTCATTGCCATATTCACAACTTTTCGGCCGTTGTACGCTTCGGCATTCTTCAGGTGATTGGTATTTCGAACCGAACCCTTTATTTCGTCCATTGAGCTAGATTGTTCCACGTGCCATGCCTCTTCCGGATGTCTCAGTTATTTCCCTTTAACTCAATTCTGCGGCCTGGTATTGAACCCAAACTCTTTGGGTCTGGTCACTGGATCTAAGCAACGTCTTTATCTTGTGGATAACTGTGGATAACTTTTCAGGATTATTGGGTGGGGGCGGGGATAATTTAAGAACGTTTGTTTGACTTTTATCATAAATGCTACTAGTAAACTTCAGAAAAAACATTTTTTCCATAATAAATCAAAACGTAACAAATCTATATTCTTTTAAATACAGATTTGTTACGGTTTGATTTATTAGTTTAACGTTATATCAAAACCTTATGGGTCATTTAATATCAAAATTCTTTGGGGTTTTGAAGTAATCAAAATATATGTTATTCTACTTTCACATTTGAATACATGGTAGATAATACTCAGCTTTTTTTCATATACATGTTTGCATGTACATAATTACTAGAAGCGATGACGTGTGTTTTATGTTGTAGTTTCGTTTGACGTTATATTTTGGAATACAGTTTGATTTTCTTGAAGAAATTGTAGGATATTTTATGGACTAATGCCATGAAAGAGTTCTTCCATGTTGGATGGTTTTGTCTAGCCACATATCAATCTCTAAGTGTTATTTAATGTCAAAATCTAAATATTTTGAATGCAATTGTATGCCTTCTATAAAATGTATTGTTGGCCATTTTGCTTTGTACATTATTCTGCTTTCATACACTGTAGATGATACTCAGCTTTTGTGCATATACATATTTGTATATCCATAATTACTAGAGGCAGTGATATGTGTGTTTTATGTTCTAGTTTTGTTATTCTGCTTTCACAATTGAATACATGGTAGATGATACTCAGCTTTTGTGAATATACATGTTTGTGTGGACATAATTACTAGAGGCAGTGATATGTGTGTTTTATGTTGTAGTTTTGTTATTCTGCTTTCACAATTGAATACATGGTAGATGATACTCAGCTTTTGTGAATATACATGTTTGTGTGGACATAATTACTAGAGGCAGTGATATGTGTGTTTTATGTTCTAGTTTTGTTATTCTGCTTTCACAATTGAATACATGGTAGATGATACTCAGCTTTTGTGAATATACATGTTTGTGTGGACATAATTACTAGAGGCAGTGATATGTGTGTTTTATGTTGTAGTTTTGTTATTCTGCTTTCACAATTGAATACATGGTAGATGATACTCAGCTTTTGTGAATATACATGTTTGTGTGGACATAATTACTAGAGGCAGTGATATGCGTGTTTTATGTTGTAGTTTTGTTATTCTGCTTTCACAATTGAATACATGGTAGATGATACTCAGCTTTTGTGAATATACATATTTGTATATCCATAA